AGCCCGCCGGTGGTAGGAAAATCGGGGTGGCCGTTAACAGGAAGCCTACACTGGGGGGCATTTTCCGATCTTCTCTCATTGAATTGATGAATACAATCAACAATACAGACGTTCATTATATTCGGTGTATCAAGCCTAATGAGGCCAAGGCAGCGTGGCAATTTGAAGGCCCCATGGTCTTAAGCCAGTTGCGTGCTTGTGGCGTTTTGGAGACCGTTCGCATTAGTTGCGCTGGATATCCTACCAGGTGGACATATGAAGAGTTTGCACTCAGATATTACATGCTTGTGCATTCTGATCAGTGGACCGCAGAGATTCGCGAAATGGCCAATGCCATTCTGACAAAGGCTTTGGGTACAAGCACTGGCAAAGGGCTGGACAAGTATCAGTTGGGTCTAACCAAGATCTTCTTCCGCGCTGGCATGCTTGCGTTCCTGGAGAATCTACGAACAAGTCGACTGAACGGCTGTGCCATTCTCATTCAGAAGAATTTGAGAGCGAAGTACTATCGTCGTCGATATCTGGAGGCCCGAGAATCTGTTATTCGTTCTCAGTCTGCCGCCAGAGCATATATTGCTAGAAGACAGGCACAGGAGCTCCGCACTGTAAGAGCAGCGACTACAATTCAACGTGTATGGCGAGGCCAGAAAGAACAAAAGAAGTTCTTGGCTATCCGAAAGGATATGATTCTCTTCGAGTCAGCAGCCAAGGGTTATCTTCGACGAAAGCAGATTATGGAGACCAGGGTGGGCAACGCCGCACTCGTCATTCAGCGGGCATGGCGATCCCGTCGACAAGTACAGTCCTGGCGCCAGTATCGTCGAAAAGTGACGTTGATTCAAAGTCTGTGGCGTGGTAAGCTTGCGAGACGAGGCTACAAGAAGATTCGGGAGGAGGCTCGCGATCTGAAGCAAATTTCGTACAAGCTGGAAAACAAGGTTGTTGAACTTACTCAGTCTTTGGGGTCGATGAAAGAAAAGAACAAAAACCTTGCGGCACAAGTTGAGAACTACGAAAGTCAGATCAAGTCGTGGAAGAATCGACACAACGCACTTGAGGCGAGAACGAAGGAGCTGCAGACCGAGGCTAACCAGGCGGGTATCGCAGTTGCGCGTCTACAGGCAATGGAGGAGGAGATGAAGAAACTACAGCAGGCATTCGATGAGTCAACAGCAAATATTAAACGAATGCAAGAAGAGGAGCGTGACTTAAGAGAATCACTACGCCTGTCAAACACAGAACTGGAGTCTGCAAAGCAGACGAGCAATGACAGAGAAAAGGACAATGTCAGTCTCAGACAAGAGCTTGACGCTCTGCGTGACGCTCTGGAAGTGGCCAAGAGAACCGCTCCTGTCAATGGAGATCTCGCCAATGGAACCCCGGCGACAGCATCGACGGGTACTGGACTCATTAACCTCGTTGCCTCCAAAAAGCCGAAGCGTAGAAGTGCCGGAGCTGAGCCCCGAGATTTGGATCGCTTCAGTGCCGCCTACAATCCTCGCCCAGTCTCCATGGCTGTCACAAACACTGCTCATCGGCAGAACTTGTCCGGTACAACGTATATTCCTGGGGTTGATAACATTGAAATGGAATTAGAGTCGCTTCTTGCCGACGAGGATGGCTTGAACGAAGAGGTGACCATGGGCTTGATTCGCAACCTGAAAATTCCCTCACCAAATTCAACCCCTCCGCCTTCCGATAAAGAAGTGTTGTTCCCCTCCTACCTCATTAACCTAGTCACCTCTGAGATGTGGAATAATGGGTTTGTCAAGGAATCAGAACGTTTCCTAGCAAATGTGATGCAATCCATTCAGCAGGAGGTAATGCAACACGACGGGGACGAGGCAATCAACCCTGGTGCATTCTGGCTTTCCAACGTTCACGAGATGTTGTCATTCGTTTTTCTTGCTGAAGACTGGTACGAGACACAGAAGACTGATAACTACGAATATGACCGCCTGCTTGAAATTGTCAAGCACGACCTCGAGAGCTTGGAGTTCAATATCTACCATACTTGGATGAAGGTCCTGAAGAAAAAGTTGCACAAGATGATCATCCCAGCTATCATTGAATCGCAATCTCTTCCTGGTTTCATCACCAATGAGAGCAATAGGTTTTTGGGCAAGCTTCTGCAGTCCAACTCTGCCCCAGCATACAGCATGGACAATCTATTGAGCTTGCTCAACAGTGTCTTCCGGGCCATGAAGGCTTTCTACCTGGAAGACTCTATTCTTACACAGACGATCACGGAGCTTCTTCGCCTTGTCGGCGTTACTGCATTCAATGACTTGCTCATGCGCCGCAACTTCCTCTCATGGAAGCGAGGCCTGCAAATCAACTATAACATCACACGCATTGAGGAGTGGTGTAAGAGCCATGATATGCCAGAAGGCACGCTTCAGCTTGAGCATTTGATGGTAAGCTAGTTTGATTTCGGATAAACAAAGTTTGGCGATGAACATTTTACTGATATCCTTTACTATGGCTTAGCAAGCAACAAAACTCCTTCAACTCAAGAAAGCTACTCTAAACGACATTGAAATAATCCAGGACATATGTTGGATGTATGTGCTGCTGTTGCTCTAAACCAAGAAAACGGTTGGCATTGCTCATGGCTAACACCCTTCTAGGCTCTCACCAAACCAAATCCAAAAGTTGCTAAACCAGTACCTAGTCGCAGACTACGAACAGCCTATTAATGGAGAAATCATGAAGGCTGTTGCCTCTAGAGTGACTGAGAAGAGTGATGTACTGCTCCTTCAGGCAGTTGATATGGATGATAGCGGACCCTACGAGATTGCAGAACCTCGAGCGATTACTGCGCTCGAGACTTACACCCCATCTTGTAAGCTATACTAATAACTCGCGTTATGTTTTGCCTTGAGCTAATCTACCCACAAGGGCTGCAAACTCCTCGTTTAAAACGATTGGCTGAAATAGTCTCGGCTCAAGCTATCGCCCAACAAGAAAAGCTCGAGTATGGAAATGCCGGCGAATTCGAAGGCCAAGACGACGATATTCTTGAAGCAGATGAAACCGCTGTTGAACCTGCACAATAAAAGAAGTAAACCATCTACGCAGGTTTTGTAATTTTTCGATTTTGCAAACAGTGGCTGGAAGATCATAGAATAGACGCTGTACATTTTATTGGGTTTGTTTTGACCACTGGGTAGAGGATGCGATGCTAGGCTGCCATGCTTACGACCCCAGTCAAGCTGTGTATGGATCTTTGAGGAGCTTGGCGCACACTATGACATGTCATGTATTGCAGATGTATGAGGGAAGATGTTGCGACTTCAAGGCACTGTTGACTGAGGGATTATCGCCGACGTATTCGGAAACGATCAGTTGTCTGGCAGATGTTAGGCACTTATCTATTGATGTAAATGTATGTCTAGCTATGATGACGCATTTTTGGGTCTCATTTTATAATTAGACTCTAGGGATTCCCCTTCTTTTAATGAAAAACAACAATGTATGGCATTCGTTAACCGTGTCGTAGAATATGGATCTCGGACCTGGAGTGGCATATATGCATCAAAGCGAGGATATGCCTCGGTGTAGGCATAGTATGAACTCCAAAATGTGGAGTTTTAAAGTACTGGGGCGGTACGGCTCTAGAATTCTCTTCGAAATTTGACCGCTGACATTCAAAGACATTTCGGGCTGAGGGAGGGTTCCCAATAATATCGAGGAAAAAAAAAAACATAAACGACTGACAAGTCTATTTATATACAGTGTCACAGGAGCAAGATGAGACAAAGCCCGAACATCATTGTAACTGGAACTCCCGGTGTGGGCAAGACCACCCACAGCGAGAGTTTAGCAGAGCGAACTGGACTTCGACATGTCTCCGTGAACCAAATAGTCAAGGATAAGGAGTGTCACGAAGGTTGGAGTGACGAGTACCAGAGCTGGATTGTGGATGAAGACAAAGTAAGAATAGGCCGTCCACTACCTAAAAACTCACTGCGACTGACTGCGAATACTTTTCTCAGCTACTAGATGCCATTGAGGAAGATGTCAAAGCTGGTGGCTGTATAATCGACTGGCATGCCTGTGATCTTTTCCCACGAAGCTGGATAGACCTGGTTGTGGTTTTGAGGGTGGATTCTTCAACCTTGTTTGACAGGTTGACGGCTAGGTGAGCAACATGGCGAACCCCAAATGTGCAATGCCGTTCTTTATTCTCTGTCATACATTCTCAAAGAGCCAGAGTTGGAAGGCTGATGCATCTTATGATAAATAGAGACTATGCCGAAGCCAAGCTTCAGGAGAACCTGGACTCGGAAATCATGGAGGTGTTACTTCAAGAGGCACGGGAGGGCTTTGATGAGGAGATTGTCATTGAGCTGATGAGCAACACCTCTGATGAGATGGAGTCTAATGTAGACCGGATTGAAGCGTGGGTTAAGCAATGGAAGCTGGATAATACTTCTGCAGGTAATTCTTGAATAACAAGACTTGAAGGGCAAAGGGGTACAAGAGAAGATATTTGATAGACTGAGAAGCTGGAGCGACGTCTGCTTTCTTTAGAAAATTGCAACAATATATGAGCCTTCACGACTGGGGGCTTCCTGTTCGGATGCTTTGGGTTATATGTTCCCGCCACTATTTTGGTATGCACATAACGGGGCTTTAATTTTGCCTGCTCTCTCATCAGAATGGACCAACACTGGCAGCACAGCTCCTAGAAAACTGCTTCCAGTTATACCACCATTCCTGTTCTGGGCATCTGGAAGCTGAGCCAACATATCTTCTCTCGAAATTGTGCACCTTTTCACGAGGTAAATGTCCAATTTTTACCCCTCCTTCGGTCATCGACATTTGCCTCCCACATGGAATGGACCTATTTGTTGGGGGAACACATCCTTTTTCACACTAGCATGCTCGTTATTTATGTCCCAACGATGTGTGCATAAGGGAGCAAAGATTGGATTTTAGGATATTGACACTATTCGGCAGGAATTCAAAATTCTACATGTGTATGAGACGGCACTATGGCGCCATGTATTAATTTCGTCACCGGCAATTCGAACAAGCTTCGGGAGGTAAAGGCCATACTTGAGCCTGGTATCGAAGTCCGAAGCAATCCCATAGACGTTGAGGAGGTCCAGGGTTCCATTGAGGAGGTAACCGAGTCCAAGTGTCGTAGGGCTGCTGAACTTGTCAATGGGCCAGTACTTGTGGAAGACACAGCCCTGTGTTTCAATGCTCTCGCAGGGCTACCGGGACCCTATATGTAAGACGAGGACCCAAGTACCGAGCCGGCAAATTCATCATATGGCTACCTGCTTCTTCTAACGACCCCTTGTTGGTTTGAGTACAGTAAATGGTTCTTGGCGGGTATTGGCCACGAAGGTTTGAACAATCTCTTGGCTGCATACGCAGACAAGTCTGCTGAGGCTGTTTGTACGTTTGGCTATTCCGAGGGCCCAGGACATAAGCCAATTATTTTCCAAGGAAGGTGTCCGGTAAGTTGCTTGATTTGTGCTTTCGATCGGTGTACTGTTTGTACAAGCAACCAGCCAGCCAGCTAATCTTGTCCTGGGCCGAAGGGAAATATTGTCCCTGCAAGGGGGCCAACTCATTTTGGTAGGTGCCACCTAATTATACATCAATGCAGTTGATACTCAATCAAGTCAATAAAATCAGGCATAAACGACCGCTAATGAAACATTGTCTTGCAGGTTGGGATCCTATCTTCGAACATGACGGGAAAACGTATGTTGGCACAAAAGAATATTCCTTACTACACTTTCGCACGCCCTATCCTTTCAAACATCTTTAAGTGGAGTCCCAAACCTGGTGTTTCAATCACTGTAGGTGTGCTAATTTGTCGGGCAATCCAGATTTGCTGAGATGGACGGGGCGGAGAAGAACAAGATATCTCACCGCAGTCGTGCACTTGAAAAGCTTCGGCAATGGTTTGAGGGCGAGCGCCAACACTAGTTACGGCTTTTTATTGTGTCGAGTCAAGGTCCTGGTATGGCGTCTTGTAGGCTTCATCGGAGAGCGAGCTATTAGTACAAGTAGGCGAGAGTAGCACAAGACGCCCCAAAATCAACACTCACAACAAAACCTCGAACTCCGGGTACTTGCTTAAGTATGTTTCTCCTCGCCTATAAGGGTCAACAAGAGAGTCTGCCCTCGTGGCATTGCTTTTCAAGCCTTTGCTGGTGTGTTTTTTAATCGACTCTGGATCCCGACTCGATGGGTCAAACACATAGAGGTAGGACCCTCCGCCCAAGCTTCTTTCAAAGCCCACAACAGTGAGGGAGTGTCCTAATTTGATTTATTAATGCTCTCTTGGTTTGAAAGTATCGTGAATTGTCTCACTTACCCTGATGCTGTAGATAAATTGGTGGGAGATTTGTATGACGCACTTTTCTCCCCGGCCTCGTGCCCCATTCCGCTGCAAAATATGCCTCTATTGCCTTTATCATGTTTTCCCATGCCTGTCCCGTTTCTACAGGGCGAAATGCCCTCACTACACATCTAGTACCAGAATGAGTAAAGAAAATTGGTGCGTGGCAAGTGGTCATCGTACGGAATTGCGAGACTTCTGAAAAGTGCATGCGCCTATCCAAGAAAGACCGTCAGCAATGGAACCCTTTCCGTAGAGCTTGATTGTGCATCCTTGCCTCTGGTGTGCCAATGTATTTTCGGGTTCCAATAATCCCCCCAGTTTCAAGCCGACCGTTTGAGTTGTGACCGAGATCCCAAGCTGACTCAATCAAGTCCTGAATCTGAAAAACCGAGGGAAGACCGTCCTGGAAATGCTCGTGGCCTGATGCTCTGGTATTAATTATATATGATGTCAGAGATTGAATGTTTCGATATCCACAAAATCCTCCTAGTTTCCCCCAAAGTCAGTAATCATGTCAGCTTCAAAGTGATACGCTTACCTTCTCGGCTCAACTTCGACACATGCTGCACGCAAGGGTGGCAAAAATACGCATAGCTTATTGAATGGCTCTTTCCCACAACCTTCGCCAGGACCGGGATAACACCTACACAACACTAAGCTGTCATGCTACATCTCATCTATTATGTCATGATCGACCTCTTGTCAGCAGGCTTCTTACCATCAGTACAAATCTGGCCACCTTTAGCTAGTTTTCTCGCTAGCCAGCTTGGCATTTCATCTTCATAGGCGAATTTCCCGAGGTGGTTCGTCTGTGATGGGTAATTTAGTCGTTCCATCTGGGCGATCCTCGAGCGTTGAGCCATGGACTTACTCCGAGTGATGGTGCCGATTGTTTCTTTCTGTTGCTACCTTGCCTCGTTTCACTCAGTCTCTCAACCTCTGGATTGATAGCAGCCGGTGCTCCCAAGGCGACGGGTTGTGCACTCTGCTTGCTACGACGAGGCTTGAGACTTGTGGTATGTTGACTTCCTCTCCTCCGGCGTCGAAATATGTCTGCCCATCCTGGCATGCTCACCGGCACTTTGGCTCCTCAGACGATCGCAAATCTTGACAAACAGTTGTATTGCCCGGGGTGCAGTTCGTCACTGGTCCAGTCTTGTTTGCGCAAGAATGAATGCCTGGTTGGACGTTGGTGCAGAAGGTTGAATGCTGAGCAGTTGTGTGGCTCACGTCGCATACACCTGCGCCACCCTGCTAAACCACTAACGCACACCACTTGCGACCGGTTCCATTCTAACGGGTTTGGAAAGGAATATGCTGGAGCCTGAGATTGCGATGTAATTTTACCTGTGCGACTACGAAATGGTCTCTCTCCTGGTTACTTGATTTTGTGCATGGAACGTACTTGCCTCAGTGACATCCCGACCCGATTTCCACAATCCCTAAAGCATCACATTCGATCTGTTTCGGCTCAACATTTACACAATACAGAACGAGCATCATGATGAAGCACGGAAAATCTCATATAAAATTGTCTATCGTGCCATTCCTGTATCCCATCTGAATAACGTGTATAATAGCACCAATGCATAGTCAGTTGCGGAAGCGCAGATGACAGTATGGTGAGGCCTGGGCAACTACTTTCCTCCCTTTGGTCGCTGAGGTAGAGATTTCTGCGAGGTAGACTCCTTCGGCAACTCCTTGGCAAAAGGAATAAATTCTGGTGCTCCGGGGAGATACTTCCTAAGAGGTTCTGGTACTCTCAGCCCCTATTATGTGACCAGTTAGAAAATGTTGCTCCGTGAAAATGTGCGTGGACTCCCTTCCCAACGCAATGCGGGGGGCTGGCTCAGCACTACTCACCTCCTCAGTCTGGTAGTTCTCCAAAATGCAGCACATAGTTCTGGTTGTCGCACAGAGCGTAGAGTTAAGACAATGAACGTATTTCTTCTTGACATCAGTCTGCATCTTGGAGCCAAATCGTATCTCAAGGGCGCGAGACTGATAGTCGGTACAGTTGGAGCAAGAGACGAGTTCTTTGTATTCGCCTTGGAATGGGAACCAGGCCTCTAAATCCAGTTTCTTAGACGCCGCGTTATTCAATGCGCCAGACACAATTGACACAATCTGATACGGCAACTCGAGCGACTTGTAGAACTCCTCGGAAATACCTATCATGTCATGGAAGGCGTCCCAAGATTTTTCTGGGTCCGTTAAGAGGAATTGTTCGATCTTTGCTCTGTTAGCGGTGAAAGACCCTCGGTTGATACAAGGTGCTGGGAGGTATGCCTTTACCTTTTCAAACTGGTGGACGCGGTAAATACCCCAGGCATCTCTGCCATGGGAGCCTGCTTCGCGTCTGTAGCAAGTGCTGTAACCAGCATATCTGAGGGAGCCTATTGTTAATAGTAGATCAAAGTAGAAATATGGCGTTATTGCCCCAACAGCACATGAACCTACTTGATGGGAAGATCCTTGGGGATCAGCCACTCATCAGCGTGGAATGCAGAAATAGGCTGTTCCGACGTAGCAATCAGGTACTTGTCATTCTTTGCTTCGCCATCTGTCACTTTATACAACTCCTCGTCGAACTGCTCAAGTTGAGCGGTCTTGCCCATGTAATCTTTGAGCATGAATTGTGGCGTCTGCAATGGAGTATACCCTCGCTGGCTGAGGAATTCAAGGCCATAGTTGATTAGAGCCTGGTTCAAAAATACTCCCCACTGTCGTAAGAAGTAGCCACGGTGGCCAACTACCTTCACACCCCGGTCGGGATCGTAGCCATCGAGTCTAAGAAGGACTTCATGATGAGAAAGAACATTGCTGCGCTTCTCCACCGTGGCACCTTCTGGTGCCCATGTACGCTCTACCACGTTGTTGTCCTGTGGAATGGTGTGTTAAAATCACAACATTTTGGAGCCAGCATCCGGCATACTCTCAGGGATGGTGACAAACCTCGTTGTTGCTCACTGGCACGGAGTCATGTACGTAGTTGCCTACTGTCTTGATCTTCGCTTTGAGCAATGCATCTTTTTCGGCGGCGGACTCTACCAGTGCCTTCTTCTCCTTCTCAAGTTCAACTTTCTGCTTGAGAAGCTCATCCGCATCCTCCTTCGCCTAAATTGTAAACCGTTAGTGATGGTTCGGTGGATCACGGGAAGAACGGGAGGAGAAAGACAAAGAGGGTGGTTTCCGTCGACATTTTAATCCTTGATCTTGACTAACCTTCTTCTTAGCTCCAATTTGTTTCTGAACATCATTGATCTTGCTGTTCACTTGTGTAGCGCTGTATTGGGCTAGTCGCAACGACGGTTTTTGTCAGCTAAGGGTCAATTCTAGCTTCAAGTTGCGAGGCGATTGATAGACTTACTTCTGCGGTGATCTTCAAAAAGGGCAATAATCTCGTCCACAACTTCGACATTGGCAGATCTGCGACGTTGAGACTCGCGAATCTTCTCCGGATCACCACCTCGCTCCGTGATAAAGTCTATAACATCAAGCATCTTGTAAATATTCGTTCGCTTCGAGGACGTTCGCAAAGCTGGTATCGGAGTATGAGTGGAATATCGCAGTCTGTCTTTCTGCTCGTTGTCGGTATTTTCAGCGGAAGGTGCGACTGTTTGGGGAGTTGAAAGCAATTCCCTTTCTTTTGAGTCACAGCTTGCACGAGACAGTTGGGTGAACAACCTAACACTCTCCCCGAATAGTCACCATTTTTTTGGTGGGGGAGGGGAGGGGCAGACAGTGTGTTGGTCGGTGGGGTCGAAAAGGTAACAGGGGACGGACAAAAAAACCTGAGCATGTCCAGCACTTGGTTTTGCGTCGGTGGCAGCCGAAATGTGGCTGTGGCGGGGCGAGGCTGATTAAAGCCTAACATTTATCAAGGCAAGCCAGGCACCCGGACGCCCAACTTTTACCACCTGAGCGGTAAATCGTCGTCTTCCGATTTGCGTAGCTTTTACCAATTTGGTTACAGCAATCGTAAAGGATCTTGTTCATTACTCTGGGCGACTCTGGTCTTTATCTAGGTAGTAGCCACCCCTCACATACCTTGGCCTTCTAGCCAACGATGTTCCTCCGCGAGCTCTGGTTGTGTGACAGGGTACACATGTCGTTGGGCTTGGGTTTATGACATGTTAGAAAGCACTCAATTGCAAAATGTGTTCCTGAGTTCATAGTACTGATATTGGAATCGTTTATAGTGTAATAGACCTATATATATGTGTGTGTATATTCCCAAGAGCCTCAACCCCAAGCTGCCCGCAGCTATACTTCTCCTATGATATTACATTAGAGAACAGTTGCCCTTTTCTGGGGCCTCGCCCGGGTTCTGTGACTTCTCAATCTGGGCAATCAACAGTTCGAACGCGCGACCAACATTTTCATTATATCGCGCGCTTGCCTCTGTCCAGCCACATTGGAACTTGTCCGACAGCTTCTTTCCTTCCTCTGGGCTCACTTGGCGTTGTTCAGGTCGTAGGTCGCTCTTGTTGCCGACTATGACAATAGGGACAGATTCGCTCCCCTGTTGGCCGTGGCCCAACAGTCACTCTGTTAGTGGCGAGAATAATTGTCTGTGGCAAGAAAGACTGCCCTTGGCACCCGGGGGGAAACTTACCAAATGATTGAGGATCTTTTCCCTGATAACCTGGATCATTTCAAATGAGGGAAGAGACGAGACTGAATACACAAGCATGTAACCATGGATTCCAATGAAATGTTTGGAATTCAGGATGCTATATTCATCCTGACCAGCAGTGTCGACAATTTCTGTGGCATAGTCCTGGCCTTTATACCGAATTGTCTTGCTAAAGGTATTCTCGATCGTTGGGTAGTAGCTATCTACAAAGTGTCCGTCGACAAATTGTACCGCAAGGGAAGATTTTCCTGATTCTGGTCAGTATTTATGGTCTTTTTGATTCCATGGCAGTATCCCTGTCCGCCCTTACCTACGGATCGGCTACCGACGATGGCTACCTTTCTTTGCTTCGGCGCAGGCATTCTGGTAGGCGCGGCAGATGTTAAGGGACAAAATGGTGACTTCTACGGCGCAACAGTGCTGTGGTAGAGGCTCGTGGGATGTCCGTTCTTCCGACAGCGTTTGGCGATTGCGCGGTTCGACGAACACGGCGCGAACTTAGTCGATGATGCCCACCCAGTCAGTGTCTGCCCGCTTGAGCAATTCGCCGTCAGCCCACCATCAAGTTCCCACCATCACTGCCAACCAGAACTAAGTACCTAGTACCTAGGTGCCAGGACATACGATCAGACTAGAGCGTGGTAGTGGGGTATGCTCCGGTACCGGCCAGATTGTCCCAGCGCACATACATACATGTCTCGCCACAGTTGTTGCCCTTTCGTCACAATGCCTTTCTCCGTCAACCAATTTGACCTCACGCGCGGGCTGCTGTAAGGAGTAACGCAAGTTCAGCAATGTTGAAAAATGGCCAGGCATTCAGCTACGGCCACTCTTCTTACAAACGGCGGGCTAGCAACAAGCTTACACCTACCAAGACAGGACACATGGGACTCCGAAGAGGTAAGGCGGTGATGGGTGGTTGCGCCTCGGCATCCCGTCCATGAAGATCACGGCACAGTATATCACGATGATCGACAATTCATGAATAAATCTCATGACCCAATGCAGAGCTAGCTTCGACTGTCATACACCCAACCTGTTACCAATATCTATCCATCAATTCGCCACGTTATCCATAAAACCAACAAAACAACAGGCGAGCGCCGAAACACCGCATGAGCAAGCGCAGTCAACCCCGACCCGCCCGGCAGACCTCCCTCGATTTTGCACAGGTGTGCATGGTTTGTGTTGTTGACATAAGAAAGCACCTCAAACTACCCGCCGAAGCTCCTGTACGAGAATGTCCATTGCGTGAGCTTTGCTATCCACGGCTTTATACATGCTTGCGAACTGTTGGATCGAAGTTCGGAGGCTTTGCAGTGCCCCATGGCCAACACGGTGCTCTAGGCGACCCCTCGCCTGTCTTGTTAGACACATGTACCCGAGTAGCACAGACAAGTATCCAACGGCAACGCTCAATTTGGATTTGTCTACAGAGTCCGCCTACTTGTGGGTTAGCACAGCAGTAAAGAGACGGAAAAGAAGATCAAACGGGCCGCTTACCTCGCCAACAGACTCCTTGTTATCCTGCCACAACTTTACTAGATTATCCATGGTGTCCTCTGTTACGGCCCTTCTCGCGGGAGTGCAGTGCTCCATGATATTTATCATGACGCCCAGCATGAGCAAGAGTTCATCATATGTCTCGCCGTCCAACTTGCCCGCAAAAATTGTATTGCGTACGTCGGCAAATAGGTAGCCAACACGACGCGCTAGCTTTGTAGAAAGTTGCGGGTCATCAAATGCTGCCGCTTCATCCTCAGCATTGGTGGTGTTAATGGCCAGCTTCAGAATCGCTGAGTCTAGCTCTGGCCGTCCACTCGGCCACTGCTGGAGTGCTCGCGAAAGCAGCTTGGCGATCCTTGCTGGATGGCCGCCGTCTGAATTCAGCCTTGGGGCTACTCCAGCGCTGGACTGTGTTTCGAGGGTGAATACAGTTAGAGCATAGTCCACCTCGTCGCAAGATCCTTCCTCGCTTGCCCAGGTAGCAACGGAAACAATATCTGAGTGTGCGTCCGAGAGAATTTGATCCAGGAACACTGCATCTGCGCAGCGGCTAAGCAAGGCCATCAGCTGAAGAGCGGCTGTTCGTGGGGACGGAGAGACAGGTTGGTAGCCATGCCATATTGGTAGGCCTTGCAAAATGGACTTCACCCCATCGACCGACAATTTCGACATTCTAGACATGTTCATCTTCTTCTGGGAGGCAATAATTGTAATGTCCTCATCTACACGAAGAAGTAGTCCCAACAGCCTACCGACACCATCTCCTGCTAGTTGCCGTAGCAGATTTGGAGCCGGCCCAGCGGTTAAAAAGGAAAGCAGGTAGGATACTAGAGCGAAGCCACAGATGATATCCTGTTCTTTTCCAATATCTCGAGCAACCGTATCTCGAGAAGTGTGGTCTCGAAATTGTCTCATAAACTCCTTCCGTTGAAGCTTCTGTACCAGTTCGCAGAGCGCATTTCGTCTCATGGTAGCGCTGCTCGTACCCGGAAGACCAATTCTTGCTATTAAATCGTCCATCTCGTCCGCAAATCTATTGTTCGCGCCTGCGCGCCTTAACTCATGGACGCTCTTGATCGCAGGTTGAGTATTGTCCTCATCATCAGAGTCGTCGGGGGCAAAGGCATCGGCCGGAGGACTGGAAATCGCGCCCGTCTCAGCTAGTAAAGGGTCGAGCTCATTCTCCTGAGCTCTACTAGGGCTGTCGAAAAGCTCCGGGGTTTGCGATTCGCTGACGATCCGTCGAGACTGACTGTAGGTGAACCGAACTTTCCGGTTAGCTGGCGTTGTCGTTGCCCGACGATCTGGAGTGCGAATGCTCCGGCCTGCGTCTTGGGATTGGAAATCCCGACGCATATCCGATGTCTGTTCAACTCCTAGTGACGGTTCTCGTTCTCCGTCGTCATCACCCAGAGAGAGCGACTTCTTCTGGGCGGCGAGAGCATCTATCAGGCGCGGTCGTCGTGAAGAACTTGCATTTGTACGTTTCACTGGCGTTGCGCTAGCAGAAACCAGATCTCTATCAGAGCTACGGTTTTTCCAAGCTTGTTTTGCGTCATGCTGAGTGAAGTTGGAGGGGCTTGGCCGTGCTAGGATATCTGCTGCATTTCTACTACCATCTTTCTCATCGTTGGCTTTATTTTTGGGGGTCTTTTGGCCGCGATCTGCAGGAAAGGCGGCAGCATGATCACGCTTCCTTGCCAGTCCATTTTTCGAAGGAGACGGCCGTGGTGTCTTGCTTGGCGCAGTACTGGAATTTGGTTTTGATGAGGACGATATGGGAATCTTTTTTGATACTTTAAGCGAGGAGTCTTGCAGTTTCGGGGGTTGATATGTACTCTCGGGCGACGACGGGTAATCGTAGATTTGCGACAACTTCGATCGCGACGAATCGGGGTCCGGATCGCGGGTTGTTGCCGTGGTCGATGGTCGTTTACGGGCTTGGCCTGCATATGTCACCACCCTTTGCTGGCCAATGCCTCTAGGGGCATTGGGCACGTGTCGTGAGGCCATAATAACTGCGCGATCGATGGAAGGTGTTGAAACACAGTCGTGTGAAGGGGACAGCCGAACGGCCAGGTAGGAAGCTCCTAGCTTCCGGCCATGGAAAGAACGCAGTTCAGATGTAACGCAATGTTGTCGCCAGCAGCGCAGCTATCAGCCGATATAATGATGAAAGCATAAGCCGTCGGAACACGGCGGAGTTCTCGATGTGTTGTGGTGGTGGTGCGCAATATGATGGTGGAAAGCGAATCAACCACGGCTCGGATGCCGTCTTCAGGCTGAGGTCATTGTGGGTCGCAGCCAATTAGAGCTAGCCTTTCGATGGGTGCACTTGCCAAGACAACCTTTCTCTCCGAACTTGCAACACATTCTTTCTTACCTTGTCATACATATATGTACTATACTATATGTATATACTTAGGTGTGCGAGGTCTTGAACCTGACTTGAATGCAATCTCAGAGCTTTCCGGTAGGGAACAGTTAAGTCGCTGCCACACTGGCAATTGGAGTCTGAAACCCCTTAGTTGCTGCAGACTGTGTGCTACCAGCTTGTCTATGAGATTACCCAGTCGCCTTGATGCTTATGTCCATTTGGATGGCGAAGATATGGCGATATGAACTTTATCTATATGAGCCGGCCGATAAACGTTGCGGGCCAACGCTCACCGAGAAGGATAAAGACTGATGGATGATACGTGGCGACTAGGAGATCTATCTACGCATCTTCGGTTACTGCCCGATTTAGAGCATACATATGTATTTTACTATAATATCAGTGCTGGCTTTCGGCGAATCGTGAATCGTGATTGGGAATCTTTTACGGAGTTAAGCACGCCAATGAGTGGCGTAGTGCTGGATAGAGTATGCATGTTATGGCGATGATTACGTCGTGCACAAGGCTTTAGAAGCTTATGGCCAAATATACTGGCCTGGTACAGCCCAATACTGTTTTAGATTGCGTGTAATTTCATTATTTGACCACAGAGCGAAAGAATTGAACATTAATATATATACTCACTTAGAATGAAAAATTTTTTTGCACTTCATGCACTATGCATCATGCTAAATAAATAAATTTCTTCAGTTTCAGAAATAAATACACTGTATTAGACCACCTATTTAATATATATCAGTGGGCTTTACAAAAATTAACCTCTGAATGTAGTGGAATATAGTGGTTTTTTTTTTTTTTTCACAGAGACCGGCCACCCCCTCCACACACGCATATGCCCGCCCTAAAAAAAAAATTAGATTACTCTGGCTCAAAAAACAACCTGATTAAAAAATAATAATACAGTGCTGGTTGTTTTCTTAATATTATCTAAAGCGAAACAAAAAATTTATTTTCTAGGCGGCAGGAGGAAAAAGGAAACAAATTTTATTCTGCGATCTATTTTTTTTTTTAAAAAAAAAAAAAAAAGCCTCCTAGATGGTCGCGCATTACGCAAGGCCTTACTTATTTGGCATTTAGAAATTGGCTTCACAGTAAGCAACTTGCAATGTGATATTAATTTATTTTTAAACTCTTGTTTGTTCAAACTTGACAGCGATGTCGAAGCATAGCTGATTAACTCGTTTTGCCGCCATTTCGCAGGCAACAACTGAGGCCCAACTAATACGGACCCGGTCGGCTGAAGAGTGCACAACACGAGGATAGATGTTCCAGCTTGTCAGCAGCCTACCAAAGCAAAGTGGGGAGAAGCATCTTTCTCATCGTCGATGGGGCTTACTAGTTAGTGTGTGTGTCTGTCTCGTTTGCCGGAGCCCAGTCTGGGGAAGTGGGCCCATGATTCTGGGGGTGGAGCAGACAAGCTAGACAAGGGCTGGTCAAAACACCACCTGCCCTTCCTAC